CCCTCAGCACGATCGTTCGCGAGCCGGACAAACTGCCATCTCGAAGCGAACTTGGGTGTGCGCCTCAGTGGGAGCTCCAACGAAAGGGAGGACCACCGTTGTGCTGGTAGGTAGCGCACTTGCCGCTACCTTCTGAAAGCTACACACCACCCAACTCGTCGTGCGTGATGCTCGACCAGTGAACAGGAAGTTGCACGGGTATTACTCTCTGCGTATTACAGAGCGGTGCAACGGTCGGCACCTCCGCGGTCGGTCGCTGGCTTCGTAGATTCTGAGGTGCATATCGGCAACGGAATGTCGCTCGACCGTCCTGCTGCTTGGAATGTCTGTGGGGCGACTTTGGGTTCGCCACGTGGAGCTATCTCTGGCGCACACGCTAATTAGTCCATTCACTAATATACGTTTACAGTATGTACCGACTGCAACGTTGCCCTCCCATCTCCAAGCCCAAGCGTCGCCGTTCGTGCTCGTTCAAGGGCGCTTGGTGCGAGTTGGTGTGATCTGAACCGATCCCATGGGTTTCAACTTGGTTTCAACATAGTTTGAAAGGTTTCCATTTCCTGCAGGTTTTCTTCTCACAACTTTAGGAGGATCTTAGAGTACTAAGAATGTACGGATACATGGTATTAAATGCTAGAGGTACTGGTAGGAATCGAACGCCACATTCCGGACGACTCACGACCGACCGACTGACCACATAATTTGCATCGCCGCCGACTGGCCATATTGAACGGAGCTTGCAGTAATCGGGTATTTGCGAATTGTCGCCATGCCACGGACCCATTCGGCCCGCGAGAGCGCCGGCGTCGTGCTCTTTGACGCCTCAGACACGCGCTGGTCGGGCGTCTGCACGACTACGCGGACTTCCATCATGCTCGACCTCTCGTACCTCTACGACCCTATCTCGCCCAAGCACGATGCCAAAGCGGCCAGCACGGACGCGACGACCAAGTCGGCGACCGATACAACGTGCAGCAGCACCACCGAGTCCCTCGGGAGTCGTCGGCATCGCCGGCGAACCACGTCGGTCGTCGAGACGCACCGCCCGCACGACGCCAAGTGGTTCACGCCCGTCTCCAAGTTCTTTCGGTCGCTCTTCCGCCCGCGCGACCGAGACTCACTGCTGCTTCCCGTCCAACGGCCCTCCAAGTATTACAAATAGGGCTCTCTGGTGCAGTGATATTTATACACTCCCGTCGTCGCGTCATCGTAGACATATACCGTAGTACAAACCTGTAGCTATCTCTGCGTTCGCCCTTGCCCTGCTGCTACGGCGTGCGCCCCGGGAAGAGGGAACAGTATCAAGAATGGCAAGTGCAAAGTCGCTGGCAGCGCGAAATAGTGTTCATTTCCGCGATCCTGTGTCAGGTTTTTGCAGCCCGGAACCCGTCGAGTCAAGGGTGAGGTACACTAGGCTCACGTCTGGCCTTGTACCGAGAGCTGGCGGTAGATGAACGAGGAAGGCGGAAGGTGCGTCGGGCGAGAAGGGCAGCACGCGCATGCAGGAGAACGCTTCGTCTCCGTTTCGAATGAGCCAGCTGCACGCGGCGCGAGAATCTTGACAAGAATTTTCGCCCGCAGTGGCAGAGAGCGCGGCTCTCCTCATCCTGCAATTGGCACACATCTCGCCAAAGCTCCGTGAAAGTTGATAGAAGCCAACGATAGAATATAGCAAAAAGGAGTACCTGCTATGAGAAGCAAATGCATCATTAGTGTCGGTCCTGAGCTCCAGCTTCAATGAGCTCTGCCATCGCTCGTTTGGTGGGATCGGGTGTCGCAAAAAAGACACATCAAACTTCGGAATCTTTGGCCAGGCGATCCGGTTACCAGTCGACTCAACGCATTTCATCCAATCGAAACGCATGGATTCAAAATACCTGGATCCGATTGGCTATAAATATCCGGCAGCCCACCAATTATTCCCCTCCGCAAGCCATATTCGAATATTTCCGCAACCGCAGAGATGGCCCGGGGTGTACGACGACGAAGCGATCCACGGATGTCCCCCGACGCTCATGCTGCATGTAGGACAAGCGAAAGCGCGACGAGCATGACGATGGCGAGGACCACCATGCGCAAGAGAAGCACTCGACGCAGGGCTCTGGCGACGAGTCCGATACCTCGGACGAAGAAAAGCCGTTGAAGCCCGTGCCCGAGGCGTCGACGCGCCGCGAGCTCAAAGAAGGTAGCCGATCCTCGAAATTGGCCCTCGCCTAAAATGCTTTACTAGGCGAACCTGGCTCGCTCACGGGCCGGCCACTGCGCTTGTTTGCGGATGGCATTTTCGATCTCTTCCATTTTGGCCACGCCCGCGCGCTGCAGCAATGCAAGCAGGCGTACCCGAACGTGTACCTTCTCGTGGGCTGCTGCAACGACGAGATGACGCACCGCCTAAAGGGCCGCACGGTCATGTCGGAAGAAGAGCGCTACGAGTCGCTGCGCCACTGCAAGTGGGTCGACGAGGTCATTGAAGGCTCGCCGTGGGTGCTTACGGACGAGTTTCTCGACAAGCACCAGATCGACTACGTGTGCCACGACGCGATCCCGTACACGGACTCAAGCGGCCAGAGCGGCGACGGCGGTACGTTGCGTAATTGCCGGTTGCGCCGACGGCTCATGCCAAATCGACGTAGGCGATGTCTACGCCCACATCAAGGCCATTGGCAAGTTCCACGAGACGCAGCGCACAGACGGCATCTCGACGAGCGACCTGATCATTCGCATCATCAGCGAATATGACACGTTCATCCGACGCAACCTCCAGCGCGGCTACTCAGGCAAGGAGATGAACGTGCCCTTTATGAAGGAGAAGGCCATCAAGCTCGACATGGCTATGGACAAGGTCAAGCACGACATTGAAGACTACTTCCACAAGGTCTTTGGCAAGGCCGACGACGTCCAGCACTCCTTCTTGAACCTCTTCTCCAAGGAAGGCGCGCTCGTACGTTGGATATTGCATATTGCACTTGAGGCGCGCGCACTCACGAACGGTTTTGAACTTGTAGCGCACGTCGCTCCGGAAACGGCGAAAGATTCTGCGCGAAAGCCTCGCCGACATGGCGCGCGAAGGTTTGTGCTAAGTGCTTTGCCGACGCCGATTGGTCGAAATTAATATAAATACCACACCGTCCGTGTCCATGATTCGCCCCCCTGTAGCCAATCACCGACCGACACGATAGGCGCGCTGATTGGCTCGACTGTAGCTTATCACCGCGGTTGCCGCGCGAGCCAGCTGGTGAGTGGGTGGTGCGTCTTTTATTCAACCGCGCGCATTCTTTTACTCCAAAAGGCTTCTTTTAATCCTGCGGTCGATCGCTGGAGCCGCCCAAGCCGTGGTCGACCACGGACTAAGCTCAGGTCGATAGCTAGCGCACATGTGTCTCCCGGTCATGCAGGAAAACTTGGAGATAGACATTAAGCAGGAAATAAGATCTGGGATCGCTCAGGCGGTGAAGACGTAGCCGTGTTGCTGGAAACCGTGCAGCGTGACGTTGACTTCGACGGTCGCAAAGCCCTGGGACGTGACGCGCGTCAGCTCGCGGCCGTCGCTTTGGGCAATGAACTTCGCGTCGAAAAACTATCAATGACCGTGTAGACTGCCACGTCATTTCGACATCGTACCTCGGGCGGTGACGCAGTGAGCCACGCAATGAAGCCTTGCAGCATGCTCGACGACTGCGGTTTGAAGAGCGGGATGCGCTTCGTGTGGGTCCCCGCGACCGTTGGTAGCAGCACCGAGCCGTACCCGCGGATGACGTCACGTCCCAGCATGTCCATCCCGTAGACCTATGCGGACTCAAGGCGCTGCTCGAGAATTGCGTCTCCTTCGTACGCTCAGTACAAGCCGCGGCCACCCGAACGGGTTGGTGGTCTTGAAGGTCATGTCGAGCGGAAAATGAAATGCAATCTCGCGCCGCGCCGCTGCCCGGTACCCGATCTGTGAGAGCCCGCTTTCCACGCCCTATTCAGCTGCATGTACAGGACTTGGGATGTCCAAGCTCGGTTTCTTACGTGTTCCAAGTGCCAGTCGGACCCGTACGTGAGCCCGTACTTGCAGTAGAGGTTCTCAACACCGTCGTACTAGGTGCCTTCAGACGGACGTGATATGACACGAGTTGATACCGTAATGGACTGGATTTGGCCCGTGCACATGACGTGAAAGCTTGATGCGACCGTCGGCGCGGCCATCGCGCTCGCGATCTTGAAGGGGTGTGGATCGTCCGGATACCGCCGGCGTGACTGCTTGGTTCGATGCAATTGAGCGTCGTGATGCTGGACAGGGCATCCTCCAGCGTCTCTACGGCGAAGAACGACCGAGCGGCTCGTGCACTCTGCTCTGTCAAGAGGCGAGGTGGACGCAAAGACCCCACACGTCGCACTACGAGTGCACACAAGGACGCCACACGTATCCGGATTCATCCCAACAACCTGCCTCAGGCTTTACCAAGCTTAGTACAACGCAGCACCTGCCAGGGTGGTGCATCATGGTGGTGCCGGTCGAGTGCAAAGTGTTGAGACTGCCGGTCAAGACGAAGGCGGCTCGTCACGGGACAGGCTTCGGTGTTTGGACAAGCCGAGAAGCATATCTTGGGACAAACGGGACAAACCGTCTTTCTTAGTTAGTCGATGGTGTATAATAGTCGTAGCACAGATAAAAACAAGCGGCGATAACCAGTGATCATGTCCAAGCGCCGCAATGAGAATGGCCAGATGCGCCGCGAGGAGTACGAGGCCGAAGAGGACCGCGACCCTCGCGAAGACGACACGGTCGCTGGCTACGGCATGACGCGCGCCTCCGAAACGGAGATCTCCAAGCGCCGTATCGTCGTGCCTAAGGGCAAGCGCCCGGCGCCCGCGGTCGCGCCCGCTGCGGTACGTTCGCCGCAGCTATGCGACGATGGCGCCCATGCGAAGCATGTGTGTAGGCGCCGGCGTCGAGCAACCCGTTCAGCGGCTTCACGGGCCTGACGCAGGCGGCCCCCGCGCCCTCGGCGAATCCATTCAGCGGCTTTACAGGGCTCACCAACCCGACGCCCGCCGCCAAGCCCGTGGTGGCCGCGCAGACGCCTGTGCAGCACACGCCCTTGTCGGACGACTGGATCAAGGCAAAGACGTCAGGTCTCTCGCGCGACGCGGCGCTTGGCGCCGTCATGGAGGTGCTCAACAAGGAGTTCTTTGCATTTGTGAGCCAGCAGGTGGTCGAGAACCCGATGACGTTCTGGAATGGCGCTGTCCAAGTACGTTCTATGGCATGTTTGACGCAGGCCTCATGTGTGCATGCGTGTAGGACTACATTCGTCAAGCGCACGAGCTCGAAGCCAAGGTAACGGCGCTGCACGCGCCGGTCAAGAAGATGGCGCCGCCGGCACCGCCGACTGGCTTTTCGTTTGGCGCCGCACCAACGACGTCTTCTGACAAGCCCTCGACGGGCTTCTCGTTCGGTGCTGCGCCGACCTCAACGACGACGACGACGACTGGCTTTTCCTTTGGTGCGGCCGCTCCGTCTGCGACCACGTCGAGCCCGGCCAAGCCGGCGACGACGACTGGCTTTTCGTTCGGTGCCAGCGCTACGCCTGCGAGCCCCGCCAAGCCCGCGACGACGATTGGCTTTTCCTTTGGCGCGGCCGCTCCGTCTGCGACGACGACGGGCTTCTCGTTTAGCTCGAGCACAACACCGGCGAGTCCGGCCAAGCCGGCAACAACAACCGGTTTTTCCTTTGGTACGACCACGACGTCGAGCCCCGCTACGAGCGCACTGGCCGCGACAGCTAGCCTGGCCAAGCCGACGTCGGGCTTCAGCTTTGGTGCCGCGCCGGCCCCTGCGGCCTCTTCTGCGTTTGCCTCGACGCCGGCGTCATTTTCTTTTGGCGGCGCGGCCGCACCTGCCGCGTCATCGTCGTCTTTCTCGTTCAACTTGCCCAAGGCGGTCCCGGCGCCGGCGGCCACGGAGGACGAGGACGACGAGAACATTGGTCGGGAAGAGGCGACGGTCATCATCAAGGTACACCACTAGCCGCTAGCATCTGTCGCTCAAGCTTGCGTAGTCGTCCTCGGAAGCCGACGAGACGGTCGTGTACGAAGTCGACGAGCTCCGCATCCGTCATTTCAAGGCGGCCGAGAAGCGCTGGGCCGACATTGGCAAGCACCCGTTCAAGATTCTCCAAAACAACTCGACCAAGGCCGCACGGTACATGACACCTTGTGGCAACTTCTTGTTCTTAGTCCATCTTAGCATTCTGTCGCGCAACTCGATTGGCAAGATCATGATCAACGCCGCGCTGTACAAGGGCCTCAAGGTCACGGTGGCGCCCAACAAGAAGGGTGTGATGCTGACCTTGCTCCATGAGGGCGAGCCTACGAGCATGCTTCTCGGTATCGCGGCGGATCGCGTTGAGGAGCTCAAGGCCGCGATCGAAGGCGCGTGCCCGCAGTAATCGTCGCAACCTATGATTTGATTTTTAAGATTGAGATTGAGCACCCGCTCTCGCTTTTAATTGGCCAAAAAATGATTACGAAAGTGGCCAATGAATGGGTGCCATTTGCATTTGGCGCCATCGGATTGGTCAATAATAAATACACGCACGGGATTGGCTGAAATACGACGAGTGGCGTTGGGAGCTTCGGGCGTTCGGGGTTGGATCATTCTCAAAGTAGCGTCGTAGGAGAGAGTAGCGAGAGCACGGCAAGCTGCATGGCAGATGTGAGCGCTGGCACACTGAAAAGTATGGCAGCGCTCGTTTTGTGCATGTTGAAAATTCCGTGCAACAGCAACTTCACTTGTAGTGTGTAGAAGGAAGGATGCCTTTGCCCACGTCCTTTCTTCAAGAATCAAGTGGGAAATTCACGATTCAAAATTAGTCAAGTAGACGTTAGCAGCAGCCTTCTGCAAGCGCTTAATTTGCTAAAAACCCTTCGGTGTCAAGTCCAGTCCTTCTCGTGTACAACAGGCAACTCGTGCACCGAGCAAGCAAGTAGCAAGCACCCGCATCAAATTCACGCCGCTTCATTCCTTACAGCCAAGAGCACAGTCCCTTCCGACTAGTCTACTGCGCCAGACCGACTGCGCTGCCCACGGTTGTGAAGCCGCCAGAAGAGGCTTCCTGGTGACTGCCACGCTGACTGACGACTGCACAACCCGGCGACTATCATGTGAAGCAATTAAATCATTCAAAATTTGTATGCAATACTTTGCGTTCTCGCGCATCTGATCGCCGACTACACTTTTCAAATTGCACCAAGATGGCCGAGCTCCAGGAAGCGATGATCGACCGCTGCATTGAGGACATTTGGCACACGTTCGACCAAGACCAGAACGGGTACCTCGACCGCGACGAGACGCGCGCGTTCATTGACGCCATGGCCGAGGCCATGAACGGCACAACACGCCTCGACTTTGACGCGTGCTTTGACGAGTACGATCAGAACCGCGACGGCCGCCTCAGCCGCGACGAAATGCGCGTCTTTGTCAAGCAGCTCATGGGCCTGTAGACGCCACGCACTTGCGCCTTATTGTCGTTCTTATAGCTGTTGTAACTCATAGCTACCGTGGCTTGTCCGGACTCGTTTTTGAAATCGCGGGCAAAATGACCTTGCCCGTCGTTGGGGGCTCTTCCGAGCGCGGTCGGGGCGGCGATGGTGGATGGTGGCTCATCGGATGAATGTGCACGTGACCTTGGACGGCGAGGCGCGGCGGTCCACTTGCTTCGACGACACTGCTGCTGCTCTTGACGAGCGGGTGCGGCTGCTTCTTGCGTCGCTGCGCCTCAAACACGGGGTGTTCGTACACGTCCTGAATTCCAAGGCGGGTTTTGGTCGACGCATCGAGCATGAGCAGCAGTAGCTCTTTGATCGGCGGCGAGTAGAGCTGCATGGCTGGTGCGTCGAGGGCGTCTCGTAGCTTGGCGAGGTTCTAGCGCTGCTCAGACGCGAGACATGGAGCGATCTCGTACCGCATGGATGGTATCGCGGTACAGAGCGCGGTCGCCGAGGACGTCGAGCGAATACGCCGTCATCCACACCGACAAGAAGAAGGTATTGCCGAGCAAGAGCTACGCAGAGATTTTGGTGCACGGGATAAGAACAGAGAGGACGCTACCTCGAGAAGAATGCACCCGAGGCTCCACACATCGGCTTTGAACCCGTCGTACGTCTCGGCGAGGAGGATTTCCGGCGCAAAGAAGCCGGGACTGCCGCAAAAGTCGCTCAGCGGCTTTCGTCCGCGGGCCACGCGGTAGCACAAGCCAAAGTCGACGATCTTGACGCTGGCCGACTCGGGCGCAAACAGAATGTTTTCGCTATCACAAGCGAGCGTCAAGACACGTGGCAGTCCGACATCGACGTACGGCTTGAGGTCGCGGTGGCAGTACCCGTGCGTGTGCAAATGCCGGATCGCGTCGACGATCTTGAACATGACGTGGACGGCGGTGGCCTCCGAGATGCCATCTACCAAGTATTTGAGCTGCCATCAAGCCGTAGGTTATCTACTCTCGTGCGCGCCAAAGTACTCGAAGAGGTCTTTGCCGCCGCGGTCCGTCACCAAGTACATGAACTTTGGTGTGTGGATGATGTCGCGCAAGTAGAGGACGCTCGGGTGGCGCAAGAGCGGGTCCGAGAGCGCTGATATCTCCATCTGGATGCGCTGGAGCGCCAGCACATCCAAGAGCTTGGCCTTCTCAATGACCTTGACTGCGAGCGGCGGCGACGGAGCTAGCGCTGTAAAGGACGGGTCGGCCGGCGCGTCTGGCCGCACGCAACATGCAAACACCGACGCGTACTGGCCCTCGCCGATGGTCGCTTGGATCGTGTACTTGCCAATAGCATGGACGGTCTCTTCGACGTTGTACGAAACACTCGGAATGCTCGCCATCGACGGGTCGTGCGCGGGGAGGTACTCCCACAACACGCGCTGGTGCACCTCGGAGACTCTAATTTGCAGGCTGAAGAATCGTTCCCGTAGCGTTGGCGTACTTTGCGTATTGCGCCTGGAGCTCCTGAACGTCTTGTTGGAACTGGGCAAACTCGAGCTGCATCGAGTGACAGCGGGTTTCTGCCTCGTCCAACGCCACTTGGAGCTCCTAAGTGCTGCTTTGAGAACGCTGGGTCGTCGCAACGAGGTTCAACGCGTAGCCGCAACGGCGCAGTCGGTAACAGCGCGTCAAGCTCGTCGTTTGCTCTTCGCACGACCCAGGAACACTAGGTATTCCTGATGCACCCATGGCATTGAGGTTGACTGTGCATACCGCTTGCTGCTGCTGTACGGCGTGGCGGTGCACCTACGCATGCAGTGGCGTTAGGTCTCTATCGGCCAACACGTGCCGTACTTCGTCCAGCGTGAGCACCGCGCCCGAGAGAGCTTGGATGCGGATGACCGAACCTGGTCAACGTGGAATGACTCGCAACGACGGGAGAACGTACTGGAGGCCAAGAGCGCGGCGATGCCTTCGGTGGCCGCGGGCGTCGGCGCCACGACGACGTAGACGTCCATGCGGTCAACCAAAGCTGCAGTTTCAGACGACGTTCCACACAGCGTCATGCTCCGAGAAACCGTCGACTTTGGTATGCGCGCTGTACCACAACGATGCACAATGCTACGTAGAGAGCGTTGCGGCATGCGAGGTCCTTGTCGCTCTCCTTGTCGACTCCCAGTTTTTGCTTTTTCAATGGACCACCACCGCGAGCGGTTGACGGCTACCATCTTGAATCCGCCCAAAACTGCAACATAAACAGTGCTCGGACTGCTAACTGCCGCTTGGTAATCATCGCCAGTGCACGTCGTCCCTCATCCGTGTTGCGTCTATGTCCAAACGGCATGGCGGCCATGTTCGAGACTTGGACAGTGCAGTTTACTTTGACAAATAGTCAGGTCCATTTTGTTAAATAGTCGGCTTTAATACCCAAACGCATCGTCGTGCGTCGCTTCGCCGATCGTGGAGACGTCGTAGAGCGCGGCCAGCATGGCCGTGATGCGCTCGTAGAACGGCGACGCTTGGTTGAGGCGCAGATTGGGGCGCGCTTCCGCTGCGGCCAGCAAGACAGCGCAGACCACCAGTGCCCACAGTCGCATCTCGGGACGAATTGGCGACTGCGAGTGAGTTCTTCGGCTGGGTGCTGGCATCGAACTGAACGTCCAGAGCCAGATCTGGAATCGGACGATCTTGGAGTTGATGGACCAATCACGGGGCGTCGACCGCATATCCCGTCACAAAATGGCCAATGAGAGCGCGAAGCGTTGCGTGATTGGCCGAAATTGGCGCGCCACGTGGAGAATGCAATGGCCAGACCGTTCCATCGTGCGCGAGCGCTGGATGCTGCGCCGCCGTCGCGCCGCCCACTCGTCGCCCCATTTCCAATCTACCTGCAAGAAGCATGCGCTCGACTCTGGTCATGTGGCTCGCGGCCGTCGCGGCCGTGGTTCTCTCGTCCACCGTCGCTGCCCAACAACAACAACAAGAGCTACCAGCCGGGCTCGAAGACTATGTCAAGCAGCAGCTTGCGCAAGCCATATCCCAAGACGTCGCCCAAGAGGTCGCGCGGGCCGTCGCAGAGCGTGTGGCGCAGGAGCAGCGCAACCGCCTCTACTCGTCGCCGCCACCGACGTCGCTCACGCCGACGACGACGGCCCCGACATCCGGTAGCAACCAGCCAGTGCTAAGCTCGCCAGCGCCCGCCGACGCGGCTCACATCCAAGGCGAGCTCCGCGCGATCGCTCAGCAGCGCGCTGAGCTCCAGAGGGAGCAAGAAGCGCTCAACAAGGAGCGCACTGCGCTCAACGAGGTGATTGCGCAGCTGCAAAACCGGTCGACGGCACCGGCAACCATCGCCCCGGTCGCAGTCAACGCATCGACACCGGTGACTGTTTCGGTCGCGTCGACGGCCGACGGCATCGCCACTACCACTGACAACGACGACGGCGGTGCGCCGTGGGGCATCATTGGTGTCTGCGTCGGTCTCGTGGCCGCCGTTGCGCTCGTCGTCGTCGGCGTCAAGAAGCGCAACGAGATGAACGACGGTCTCGAGACGCCGGCCGAGTACGCTTCGGGTTTCCACACGGCCGAGGCCGCCAGCGCGAGAGAGAGCAAGTGGGGCTCGTACGAGGTCGTGACGCCACTCGACTTGGCGGGTGTGCCGCCCGAAGACCCGATTCTCGACGACGCAACCGGAGTCGAGGCGCCAAAGCAGCTCCACGTGCGCGGTCTCGAAGCGGTGCTCTAAATGTACCAGTCGTTTTCATGTCTAATGAATGGAGCGGCTGCGTTGGCCCCCTTGAGCACGGACTAGTATTTAACCAGTGGTCACTTTCGCTTGCTATCGCACGATATTCTGGGAGTGTCAGCAACTTAAATAAATGGTTGGAGGCGCTACGTGACGCAGACATAGACTTCTTGGCCCGGCTCGAGCGCTTCGAGGGCGCGGAGGTACTTGGTTCCTGGCTCGTCGCCGTTCACCAGCGTGGCGTTGACAAACAGACGCTTGCGCCGACGTTTGGGCAGAGAAGGTACGTCGTCGGCCTTCTTCACATCGTACGCGTGCTTGGCCTTGCAGTGCGTCTGGAGCTTCGAGATCGAATTCGTCTTCTTGTACGGGCAGGCCGGCGTCGGGCACGCGTACTCGCCCGCCGCGTTCTTGTGCAGCGCGATGACAGGCCGGACAAGCACCACGTCGGGGCTCGACGGCGGCGACGGCGCCTTGGCTGGCGGGGGGGCGGGGGCCGGCTTTGGGGTCCGCGGGCCGGTCGGGTTCCGTGTTGGTCGGCCTGCGCAAGCTTGGTGGCATCATGGGTGGTGGCGAGGGCTCCTCTCCTTCGTCCTCGTCATCTTCTTCGTCTTGTCGAATGTGCAAGCCATGTTCGTGCAAGCAGTGAAACTTGAAGACGCTAAAGTTGACGTGCTCGTACTGGCACGATGCCTCGGGACACTCGAACGGCTCGAGCGGGCGCTGACGCAGTGGCGACGCCGAACTCTCGCTCGACGAAAAGCCCGCAAGAGAACGTCGCGCCGGCGCGCGTCCCCGCCCAGGCGAAGTTATCTGGTCGTCGTCGTCCGAGTGGTAGCTGCTGCGTCGCGGTGGTGTCGGGCGCACTGAATGGCGCATGTTATGAAAGGGACTCGGGGTCCTGGCGACGTCCGGCGTCGGTGGCAGTGACGGCGTCTCGGGCGTCTCGGGGCGGTAGCCAAGGTGAGCAACCGGAGCCATTTTCGGAGTACGAGGCGAGTCGGGGCCAAGCCCGAGGTTGGCGTCCGGCGACAACGGCGACGACAATGGCTCCTCGACCGCGTGTGCCAGGGGTGACGTCGGCACGTCACGCAGCATCACAAGCTCGGACGGCGCGTCGGTGGCCGAGGTTGCTACCCAAGACGCAGCAAGGCGAGGCTCGTCGTCATCGCCTTCGAGGTCATCATCGTCAAGATCGATGCTATCATCGTAGTCGAGGTTCGCGCCGGGCGATGGCGGCGGCGAGCGCCCCACGAACGGCTCGTCGAGCGGCGTGGTCTCTTCCTTTGGCAGAGAAGACGCGACCCTCGTTATCTCTGGCTCTGACGGTGGCTCGTCGACGGAGAATACTGTTGCGGATTCGGAACTATTGAGCCGAGGCTCGTCGTCGTAGTCGAGGCCGTCGTCGCCATCTTCAGCAGCCTCATCGTCATCGGCATTGTCTTGGCCATCGTCGCCACTGAGCTTGTGTTGACCGTCGAGGTCAGCGCCTTGCGCCGGCAGCGAGAAGTCCACGGCCGACTCGCTTCCTTGCGCCACTGGTGGCGACGAGACATTGACGGTCAGCGCTTCTAGCGGGGAAGCAGCCTCGACGGGCGGTGTACACGGCATGCGTTTTGATTCGAGCCCTGGTACATCACTGAACGTCGCAGCACTTGACGTTGTCGGTGTATCGTCCAACACGTCTGCGTTCTCACGTCGCACGAGCGGCGGTGACGGCGAAGCGTCGGTGGAGCACTCAGGCTGCGGAGATTGCTCTTCTAGGCTGGCTGCGCGTGCATCGTGCGGTCGTGATGACGGAGGAGACAAGGGCGGCGACATCGGCGCAGCCTCTGTGGTCACCTCGACATGGTTGAGCACGGCGGAGGTTGTGACCTCTAAGGTCATCGCAGAGAGCAGCATCGTTTGAGTTGGAGAGACAGCTAGACGCGGCGACGAAGAAGCAGTCGGGGCTGTGACACGGCCTGTCTCTGGCGATGGCTCGTTTGGCGGACGTGTCGTCACGGGTGAAGAGTCCACCGGCACAGGGTCCAGATGCGTAGAGATCGTCGGTGCCAAGTCTGGCATCTGGGTCATTGGCATCACGGCAGCCGTCGTACCGTCTGTCTCTGGTGCTGGCGGGTTTGGCAGCAGTGGTGTTGTCGCCGGTTGAGACGCCACGGGCGTGGGCTCCAGAGACGCACCGCCATTGTGCACCGTGTCGTCCGAGACTGTCGCTGGCAGCAACGGATGAGCGTCGCGCGTGGAAAGCATGTGCTGGACGCGGGCCGCTCGCACGCAGTCGCCGTCTTGGGCGCGGGGCGGCCCGATCGCAACACCAATCTCATGGCGCGCTTCGACGTGCACGGCCAGAGACGACATTTCGTCGGTCTCAAAGGTGCAGCAGTGCTGGGGGCACTCGAGCGTCCCGTTCCGACCGCGCTGGATGGGAATGAAGTCCGACGACTGGTGCGTGCCCGTGGCTGTGTCGTCGGTAGCGTCCAGCGGCGCCGCACGCACCACCATGAAGTCGTGCGCCTGCTCCGTGTGGTCCTGCACGCGAAACAGCATGGGGTGCTTAAAGCCACAGCAGTCGACGGGACAGGCAAAGGCCGAGTCGGCGTTGCGGGCAACCGGCTGCGCGTCGGCGTAGCTGGCGTCGCTGCGCGCAACGGCAAAGTCGTGCAGCTGCAGCGTATGGCCGTAGAGCGCGTGGAAGGTGGCGAAGGTGCGGTCGCACGCCGGGCATGCAAAGTCACCGTCGTTGTCCATTGCTACGCCCACGATGGTTGCTCGCTCTGGCATGGGCGGCCCGTTGGCGGCGTGTCCGGATACAGGATGTGCAACCGGATCTGCCGTCCCGCCAAAACTGGAGTTGGTCGAGATGCGTCCTTGGTCCTCTGCGACGGTGCATCATGCTAATCGACGCGTAATGACATTGTTTCCATTTAAAAAAAGACTAAACAATTATGTACATTCGTCCAGCTCAAAGATGATCTCAGCGCCGGAAGCGACGGGCGCCAGTATTCGAAAGTCGCCGGTGTTCGTGATCGCCGCGTTGACAACGGCGTTGCTTTGCAGTTGCTTGGAGGTCGTCGTCGTCGTCGTTGCAGGTGCGTGCTGGATGGCGACTTTGCGCTGATGGGCGTCCTCCGAGTGGAACCGAAGCGACGCGGCGAGGCCGGTTTCAAAGCTGCACAAGGGGCACGCGTACACCGGGTTCCGCCCGCGCATCGTGGGCACAACGGGCGTGACGCCCGGGGCACTGGCGCCGCTGTAGCTGTGCACACTCTGGCAGTGCGCCGCGAGGTTCTCGAGCACGGTCGTCTTGTAGCCGCAGCTGGCGACGGGACACCGTAGCTCGCGGCCTTTGCAGGTCGTCGGCCGATCGACGACAAAGGTACCATGATGCTGCGCTGCCACATGCTCGAGCAGCGTCGACCAGCACGTGATTGCGGCCTTGCACACTGGACATGTGTACGGGCCCTCGGGCGGGACGAGGTAGCGCGGCAGCAGATCTGGCATCTTGCGCTTCTTCGACGGATGGACCACTTTGAGGTGCTCTTGAAATGCAGACAGATCGGACGTCTCGAAGGAGCAGTACTGCTTGGGGCAGTCGTACACGGGCGTGTCGGCGGCTAACGACGTTCGATCAAACGCTGGCAGCGCGTAGCTCGGTTCGTCCGGCAAGGTTCGCTTGTGGCGAGAGGCGCAATGCTTCTGCAGCTTGGACCACTCGATGCTCGTGGTTGAGCAGTCGGGGCACCGGAACGGCGCGGGCCGATTCTCAATCTGCACGAGGTCCCGTGCGACGCCGAGGCCGGCGTGGGTGCTATTGATGTGCTGCTTGACGCTCTCATACGACGCGCTGCGAAAGGTGCATTTTGGGCACTGGAGCTCGCGGTTGGGGCGCTGGAAGATGGCGACGGTCGCGTCGGCGCCGACTTGCATGTCGATGATAAAGTCGTCGTGCTTGTTCGCAACGTGCTGATAGAGGAGTCGCCACACTTCCGCGCGGTAGGCGCAAGCCTCGTCTGGGCAGCTGTAGAGTCCGTCCGAGTCCATCGTCACGTGTACCGTGTTGGGCCGCGACGACGGCTTGGACTTGCGGGCCCCGGCTCGGGCCATGGCGTCGTCTTGACCTGTGGGCAACGGCCCGCTGGCACAATATCCGGACGACCGGATACGCAGGATCGGATAAACACACGCAACAATTTTGCGCCGAGCTGCCAGCGACTCGACGCCTCCGACTACAGCTCCGACTACTTTGTTGTTGGCTCTTCCTAGTTCAAGAACTAGAACAGTTGGATGAGTTGAATGGTAGTGTGATTGGGAAAGCCGGGGCTTCTCCAGCTGACGAATCGAACGAGACACTGACGTTCTACCTCCGTGCACTGCATGCTCAGTTCCGAACAAAGGACGGTATGCGACGCTGGCTGGCTCATGACGAAATACTAGAAAGTACTTTCGAGTCATTATTGTTTTCGTGTCCAACGCGGCAGATTCGCACATTTTGAGAATATGAATAACGGTGTCGTGTGCATGGCCTTGCTCTTTGTCGCTTTGGACATTGGTCTCCATTTTGCAACGTCAGCAACGTGGCTTTGACAAGCCGACTGCTCGCACCTCGGCTCTACAAGCACCGCTCAACCCGACGTCGACCGATTGGCTAAAGCCTGCACCTTGTTTCCCTCGCCCGCCAACTCAAGTATTAACTGGATGTAGTAATCGACTTTGTAGACGTACTAGTAAATGAATAGGACTACACCTTCGTGGACAAGGACACTGTGTTTAGAGGAGGTTGGGAGGGATTTTTAAGTGTTTGGACGCCCGACTCCCCCAGGCTACGCTATGGGAGCAAGCAGTGTCTTATCATGGGTCTGATGCAGCTTGAAGTGGTGTCGGCGAGCAGTCGCACACCACCGAGCTATTCGTTGCAAGCCACCGCTAGAACGGCAGCCGAGATGCATCGAATAGTGTACTCTAACGATTAATGGACAACTTGGAACGGACAATTCGGTCCCCACTTGGGTAAACCTTCTGCTAGTAGACAACATACGTTTTGCAACTGGATCGAGCGGGATCCAGCCGCCGCGTCGCTTCTACAACGCCGATCGTTCATGCACAACGAGCTCTGGATGAATGCGTTCGCCACTTGTCGGCTGTACATACAACTCGGTGCTGCGCAATATGAGCCCAAATCACTTCTTAGTTATCTCCGCCATGTTCAAGCGCCTCTTCCTCTCGACGCTGCTGGCTGCCTCTGCGATGGGCCAACTCAACGAAGTGCTCAACCTCGTCTCGAGCGTCGCGCAGGCCAACCCGATGGTCAACGCCGCCGCGATCCAGCAAAAAGTAGGCACCTTCTTTACGGCGCTGAGCCCGCAGCAAAAGGCGCAGGACGACGCAGAGATGAACACGGACGCGTTCTGGACGGCCAAGTGGGGCGCCGCGCCCGTCGTCGACGCCCCCGTGCAGATGGCTGCGCCGGCCGCGCCCGTCATGGCGGTGTTTGCGCCCTCGGCGGACGAGCCGACGACGCCCCCGCCGGTTGCCATGGCCGAGACTTTGAACATCTCTGCACCGACCAACGGCACCACATTCTAAGTCCTTTCGTGCCAGTCCACGACGAATTTGTATTCTTGTCGAATAATGTATTTTCTGTTTCCACTACTCTTTTGAAAAAGTCGATAGGACGTGTACTAGCCTTCCTGCGCAAGACTACCGGGACGGCGACATGACCGATGCAAGTCCAACCAAATGACGGGCACTAGTACTGAACATTTGCTATCCTATCTGCATCCCTTGGCACCGGCGGTCGATGGTGCAGCATAGATGTTATTAGCCAACAAAGTTGTTGAGACCATATACGGTCATCGATGGTATAACGAAAAATGGATTCCACAAAAGGACTAGGGTTCTAACTAGAGTCGCTTTACGCCCGGCAGTTTTCGAGGTCAAAGACAATAATGTCGGTTGCGCCGAGTTCGTGCAAGTCGTCCATGATATCGCCGACGTCCGAGCGGGGCACCATGGCCGAGACCGCGAAGAACGCTTCGTTGAAGAGCGGGTTGATCGTCGGCGCCTTGCGACCGGGCGTGACCTAGACATTGCGTTTAGCCTCCAGCGGCCGTGGGTATGTGTACCTTGATGGCGTGCTGGAGCTTCTCAGAGCAAATGTTGTACGTGATCATCTTGTACTGCTGCGCGAGGATGAAGCCGACGAAGCGCTGGTGGATCTTCTTGACGAGCTTTTCGTGGCGCGACTTGGGGTTCGAAATCAGGACCGCTTGCGTCGTCAAGATGGTGCTAATGATCTCAAGGCCCGCAGCCTTCATGGTCGTGCCGGTCTCGACGAGATCGACAATGCCGTCGGCCAAGCCGAGGCCGCAAGCCGCTTCGACCGAGCCACCCACGTACTTGATCTCTACACGCGTCCCTGTGAGCTTTGTATCAAGTTGATACGAAGAGCGTACGCGTCGGCGTCGTGGTCTCAAACTGCTTGAAGTACTGCGCCGTAATGTGCGGGAACGACGTGACGATGCGCTTCCCGGCGAGCTGGCTCGGGTGCGTGATCGCGCTGTTCACGGGGCCTTGCACAGCCAGTTTGCAGCGGCCAAATTCAAGGTTCTAGCGTCGCCCATGAGCAGTTGCATGGGAGGCATCGAGAGGACGACTTACCATGAGCTCGTGGACGGTCGTCTGCGACTCGGCGATGATGTCTTGGCCCGTGATCCCGAGGTCGACGTTACCTTCGCCAACGTACGTGGCAATGTCCGAGGCCGGAAGGAAGACCAGCGTCACAGGCAGCGACGAGCACTGCGCAATGTCGAGGCGGTTGGGCTATCAGCAAGAGATGATGCAGTGGACATCGCAGACGACGAGCGTACCCGGTTGTAGTCGAGGCCAGCGCCGTTGAGGAGCTTGACGACGCTCTCGTATAGACGGCCCTTCTTCGGGATCGCGAAGAGGAGGTTGTCCTGCTTGGGCGGTGACATGGGCGGCGCCATCGACATGGTCTTGTTCGTCGTGGAAATTGAAAACTGAGCCAAGGCGACGAAAGATCTTCCATCGAACTTCTGGTGGTACGCGTGGGACAAACCAGATTCATCGGTGCTCCCTCGGTTGAAGAGCCTACATGCCCAAATTGCCCTTTTCGATCTCGCACTCTAGTATTGTACAGACGGTACGTCACTAAAGCGAGGGAGTTTGTCAAGGCCGTCCTCGACCGACATCTAATTCTTGTGGTCGGCTTACGGACACCAGCTGCGCATGCAGCCAGCGCGACGCCTGGGTCGTAGCTCGTTGGCACAATTACGCCCAAGCTGCAAGCAAATGGTATGAGGTCGATCGTCATCTTCGGCTTCGGTGGTCTTCCAGGATGCCTCGTCGGCACTGTACCTCCAAGCAGCAGGTGGCGACACTCACGTCGCTGCTGCGATCGAGCTATCTGCCAAGCTGGCAGCCAGCAAGGATTCCCGTGGTAGCAGGCGGCTACACGCTATTGTCGGGCGATCGACGCTGCATGCAAGCACCACGAAGCTGCGACTCGCCACTGGCAGCTCATCATGCCACCGCTCGGTAGGAAGACACACAAAACGTTATTGTAGAAATCGAGTGACACGGGCTACTTGGTGTGCCAGAGGCTAAGCCACGCCGATGTGATCGTGTTGGTCTGCTCGATGGACTGCGTCATCTCTTCGAGGTTGTCGCTGAGCCGCTTGAGCGCCTGGTTGAAGTTGTTCATGGCCTTCGTGCTGGCTTCGTACTCGTCGGCCTCGTTGAGCGCCGGCGCCGGTGGCAGGCGATGGCCGTCCGTGCTATCCATCATGACCCCGTCGACGTTTTGTCCAATGTGCGCGCTCCGCGCCATTTGCGGCACGTTCATTGGCTATAATACAATACCAACCATCGAAAAACGTATTTTAATTCGATCGATTTATTTCTACATACAAAATAAAGTATTGAGCATGTACATTTCAATACAATATTCATTGCTCGCCCTCGGCTGAAAAATGGAAGGCGTGACGCGCACGCAACGCCACGCGAGGATTGGCCACGGAAAATGGATCTTTTGTGTGATTGGTGCAGCGTATGGAAAGGACGCGGGGATTGGTCCATGGATCCGTCGCGTCGCTTGATTGGGCATGGACCGAGGGTTGAGATCTTAGTGTTCACTTTCGATTTCGGCGACTTTGCACCATGCACGACTTTGAGGCCGCGCAAGCCCACTTCCTCTACGAGCACCGCGAGCCATGCAGCCAAATCGCGCTCATCCAGATCGTCACGTTCCTCATTTCGTTCGTCTTCACGTACGTGACGTGGTGGTCGGGCCTCTTTGGCCTCCTTGTCGCGATCGTCGGCTACTACGGCTGCCTCACGCCCGTCGTGCAGTCCAAAGTGAGCTTCATCCAGTTCTACTACTTTGGGAACTGCTTTATCCTGCTCCTCCAAGCGCTCTCGGCGATCGTGCTCATCGTCGTTGTGAGCGAGTGGGCCATCGTCACTGCGTGGGGCTGGGTCGTCATCGTGCTCGGCACGGTTTGCTTCATCTTCCAGCTCTACATCACGGTACTTCATCCCAGCGTGCATTTCTATGGTCTCATGCGTGTGTGGCTTAGTACATGGCCGTGCAGCGGTCGCACTCGTACCGCGCTGAGCTCATGCGCAACCCGCCGCCGGCCGAGATCATGGTCTACTCGCAGCAGGCCGTGTACACGGCCGTGCCGCAAATGGTCAGCGGCTACAAGGCGCCCATGGACACCAAGTCGATTTAATCGCATCCGTCCTGCCTCTTTTTGCATCGTACGCTGCTAGCTTTTGTATTATGACATGAATGAACGTGGCGGCGACCTCATCGCCCGCCATACTTCCTACTTGCGTCTCTACCGCAGTGCTAGCGACAAACTGAACAAGTTGCTGCCAAACCGAGCCTTTAAGCGGTGCCAACGGTGCTGTCATCAGTGCTCGTCGACGCCGATCTTGTCCCAACGGTTGCACCTTGCGTCGTGTCTCCGTTCATCGATGACCCAACTAACTACAGCAATGATGTGCAAAGTCAAGACCGAGCACCACGTTTCAAAGTTGAATGTCGTGTTAAGTTGCATGTTGAAAACCTGTGACATTCGATGCCAATATATTTAGTGTGAGAGGTCGGTAATGTTCCTATATCGAGGTGGATCGGGCCAATATTTGGTTGCCGACCATTCATCCATTTTTGAGGCCGATGTTTCCTCGCCTTGCTCTCATCGGCGCCGTGGCGCCGCTGCGCGTGGCCAGCCAGCGCCAGATCAACCGCAAGCTCAAGCACCCGGCCACGCTACGCAAGCTGGCGCGCAAGGAGGCCGAGAACCCGACGCCCGAGGTCGTTCGGACCTTGAAGTACGAGCCGACGTATGTGCCGGAGAAGGTGAGCTTCAACGGCTGGTCGCCGGCGCGTGCCGAGGGCCCGGTCGAGGGCCTGCCGTTCACGGTCAAGCGCACGTCGACGGGCCTGCAGCTGCCCGTGTACCGCGACTACCGCAACGGCCGCACGCGCATCATCACGATCGTGCGCCGCTTTGACGGCGACGAGGCCGAGTTGCAGCAGGAACTCTCCACAGTATGCGACGGCTCGCCCGTGCTGTCGCGCCCGGGCCGCTTGGAAGTCGTCGGCGACTACTCGCACCAAATCAAGCAATACTTTACGGGCCTCGGCTTCTAAAGCACTAGCATAGACACACTACTAATACAGACCACGACACGACAAGACACGATCATTAGCCGCGACAATTACGGCAACGCATTCATCCCGTACACGTCCGCCATGACGTTGACGACAAGTTCCGAGAGGCTCGCATCGCTGGTCGCGACGCGCAAGAGCAGTGGCTCGAGGGCCATCAAGTACGGCCACGTGCCCGCGTGGAGCGACAGCTGCGAGAGAAGCCCGACCGCCAGCCGCGCTGTCTCGGCCTATGCTAGTCATGAGCCACGGCGACCGCCAACGTTGACGTACCCGGCCACTGGCGACGAGCGCCCCGACCTTGTCCATGGCGTCCGGCTGGCGCGCAATCCACAGCTACGACCATTAGCACAGCCGTTCGCCACAGGGGTCGCGTACCCGCATCGCATCGTTGGCCGACGCGACGTAGTAGAGCACCTGGAGCGCCAGATCCCGGACTTGAAAGTCGGCCTTCTTCGCATCGGGCGTCGCGCCGGCTTGGCGCGAGACGAAGACCATGCCCATGTTGGCCCCGACGCGGTCACCTAGAGATGCACAATACTGTCCTTTGCCATGTGGACCGGAGATAGGCCGAACCAGCGCGCGTGGGCGACAGCGAGGCGTCGAGGTCGCGGCTCGTCGACGCGAGGGACGGGAGCAGCCCGACGTCGTAGCCGAGCTCTTCTTGCAGCGTGGCGGCATGCCCGTCCATGCCGTCGTCCATGTCATCGTCATCGTCGTCGTCGTCATAGAGCCCCGCCGTGTCGTCGTCATCTTCGTCGAGATGCCCGTCTTGCCGGCGGCGGCTCAATAGCGCCACGATGCTCGGTAGCGCCAATGGGAACCGCGCGTGGCCGACGACGCTCGTGACGCGCTTGGCGTCACCGAGGCTCGTGGCGAGAATGTCGAGCGACTGGAGCACGCGGGACCGGCGCGGGATCGACGCCGTGAGCGGCCGCAAGATCACGTCCCACTCGCCCGCGCGCATGCTCACGGCGTGGGCCATCTACACGTCGCCATCGTTGCTGAGCTCATATGGAGCTGAGCGTCTACCTGGACGAGAATGTCCATGGCATAGGCGACCGTATCGTCACTGTCGTCCGAAGCGCTCTTGAGGGTGGCGAAGAGCCAGGTGCGGAGCGTCGTGTGCGCTGCCAGCGGCGCTTCATTCTCGCGCACCATGCTGAGGTTGCGCACGATATTGAGCACTCGCAGGCCATGCTCCTGCTGCTGGGCCGCATCGCGCTGGTCCTACAGCCAAGTAATGCGGTTGATCGTCATGGCCAGAGGCGTACCGTGGCCGCAAAGAGCAGGACCGACGCTGGCGAGGATGCATCCGGTGTCGGCGGGAGCTGTCGGCAGAGCGCGTCGAGGAGCCCGGGCGCGTGGTCAAAGTGGATGTCGCAGTCCGCGTCGGACGCGTGGCCGTACGAGAGCACGGTGAGCTGGTTCAAGGCCCATGCAATGTGGTCGGGCAGCGTCGAGTCGAGCGCGAGCACGAGGCGGTGAAGCAAGCCCAAATCTACGTCGGCGCGTCAGGATTGTCGTCAAGACTCGCGTGCGTTGTACCTGTGAGTTGTTGTCGATGCGTCTTGAGGCGCTTGGTGACCATGGGCAGCGGCGTGTAGCGAATGCTCGTTGTTGCTTGAATCTCGGGATGCGTCGCAATCGTCTCGAGCGCCGTCGGCCGGTGCACAGCCTTGCCATGCACTTGTTGCAGCTCAAACGACCCGAGCCACCTACGCATCGTCGCACCTGCAACACCGTTCGGCAATGACGACGACATACGTGGCGTAAAGCTGCTGGAGTGCCGGCGCCGTCACCTTGAGCTTCATCGATGTGGCTACGCTGGACCAGAGGTTCTGTTCCGAGACGCGGGCGGCGCCGCCACGCGCGACGACCTCTTCGTAGAGCTGGACAATGTCGAGGAGGCGCGGGATGCTGAGCGTCGCGTCCGGTACGACGGGTAGCGGCTGCTGCTGCAGCGCAGGCAGCGCCTTCGTGTAGAAAGTGAGGAGGCTCTGGAGGATGCGGTTCTTCCCGGCGTGGCCCCGGCAGAGCAGCTGAAGCTCGACCCACTGCTTCTGCGGTGTGGCCTGCATGCTCACTGGTTCGGATTCCAACACCGCGTGTGTTTTGTGTAAAATAGAATCCCACGGTTCTGCTGTATCCGGACGCATATTTTCGCACAGGAGCATGGAGGCCGAGCTGGCACGGCTGGAGGCGCTCCGCGACTCATCGCGGGACCTCGTCGCGTACCTCGAGAGCGCGCGCGAGCAGTTTGACGCGATCCAAGAAGAGAACGAGAGTACGTGCGCCCCGGCGACCGCTGGCTAACGCTGTCAACATCGTCGTAGAAGCCTTGCGCATCATGGAGAACTGGCACGCCGTCTTTGCGATCGCGAACGGCGTCGCCAGAATACAAAGCGCGTCCGAGACGTCGGGCGGCTTCTCTAGCGTGCCTGCGACGCCATAAGCCGATCCTTTTACGCTGCGTCCGGCGCTCGCCCAAGGGCGGGTTCACCTTGCCGAGCGCATACGCCAGGCCAGCAGTGCAGCCAAGGACGACACGCCGCACCACCTCTCGACACTACTAGCACTTCAACCATTCCAAATGCAAACAGATTCCACCAAGCGTCGTTGCATTCGAGTTGTACGGCGAGATTGGACCGCGATGTCGCCGCTCTCTGCCGCGCTGGCTGTGGCACGGAAGCTACTTCACGCTTGGTGCATCTAGCCGTCTCGCTGAACGACGCAGAAGAAGCGCTTGAACGGGAAGAGCACGCAGCCGTCGGCCTCGATGGGATACGCCGCCGCAATCCGCGACGCATACGCTTGCAGAAAGGCCTCGCGCGTGGCAGCCTCGGAAATGGCATTGACGTACGGCCCGAGGCCCGTTGACGCCACAAAATCGACGACCGGATGCTGCTGCTTGGTCGTAGCTAGCACCTGCGTGTACTCGGTGATCCACAAATGGATGGCTTCTGGGCGGTTGATGGCGGCAAAGAGGCGGTAGTAAGTCGACGTGTCTTGCTCGGTTGTCACCCATCGCACGCCCGATACATCGACGCCGACTGCACACGCGGCTTTGGGCATGAGCGCGTGGCTGGCTTGGGCGCGGGTGTCGGGCATCTGAAAGGCCAAGACGCCGCCTGGGAACATCGATCGCGCCAGGTGAATGCGGGTGGACTGTACCTGGCTTGAGGAGCGAAAAGAGCCGTGGCAGGAGGACCTTGTGTACGTCGTACGAGACCCAATGCAGCGCCGCGTTCGAGAAGATAACGTCGACGGGCTCGTCAACCGAGAAACTTTCAAAGTCGGCCTGCGTGTACTCGACGTTGTCGACGACGCCGGCGTGCGCGGTACGGGCGGACGCAAGCATGTCGTTCGACGAGTCGACACAATGAATGCGTGCGTGGGGCCAGCGCTCGCTATAGCCGCATCATGAGCGTCCGCTCGCGATGCAAATGATACCGCATGAAGGGCGTGATGTTGCCCGTGCCGCAGCCCAAGTCGACAATCGAAGCTACATCGTTGGGTGCGTGGATGCGCTGGAGCAAGTCGAGAGCGGGCTGGAGGCGGCTAGACTCAAACTTGAGGTAGTGCGATGGTGCCCACGCACGGGCGGCGCGCGTCGTGGCCATCGTGCAAAATTGGCAAGTGCTGCCGACCGCTTTGCTGAAAGACCATTGGCTGAAATACTGCATTCCCACCCTTGATTGGTGCATTTTCGAGCCAACCTCCAAGCTCGGAACGGATCTTGCGACGCCAGCAAGCTTGGGTCGTCGCCAGTGTGATGTGCTATGAGATGCAAGAAGACATCATACTAGAACTGCACGACGGGCAATGCTCCCCTAGTCGATGGGCTCCATTCACTACGAATGCAGTGTCCTTTATGACTACGATCTGAACCTTAGTCTCTGCCTGCAACTTTCAACCACTTTTTCTCGGGCTCTACACCTCCAACGGCGACGCAACGTAGCATGTCGAACTCCCCAAAGTGTTGTCTATCACTGTGCCAAGAATGAGCGATTCCATTTTCAAGTCGACTTTTGGCATCGCAGCCCGCTGGAATCGGCCCCGGCCGAGTGGTAGACTCGCATCAACTCGGATTGGCTGAAATTCAGAGCATTATAATTTATTACATTTGTTTCATTGGCGCATTCAAATAATTTTAGCCAATCCAACATCGTTGACCATGCTGGCACCGAGCTCAATCTCAAAACGAAACGTCGCGGCCGACTCTCGACAGTAGCAACGACCTCGGGACGATCGACGCCGGGATCGTTCGAGTACCAAGACAACTACCTACCGGCGTGGGGCCACCGGCTTTTGTTGTCGACAAGTCGACTTTAGGAAATGGCGCCAGTAAAACACGACCAAACTCAAAATGAAACCACTTTGAGTAACGCTTTGGCGACGAGATATCCGATGATCCAGGCGTACGTGAACGGTCCGCCGGGCGCGGGCAAGACGACGCTCTCCAAGGCGCTCGCAGCGTCGCTCCACCTCACGCACCTCGCGACCGGCGACATTCTCCGCGACCACATCAAGCAGCGGACCGAGCTCGGCAAGGCGGCGAAAAAATGCATCGCGGCCAAGACGCTCGTCCCCGACGACATCGTTGTCGACATGATTGCTGACCGCGCGCTGCACGCACCGCACGGCTACATCCTCGACGGCTTTCCGCGGACGCCCGAGCAAACGCGTCTTCTCAAGCAGCGCGGTGTCTCGCCCAACGTCGTCTTGCTCCTCGAGGTATCATCATGCTCCCACATGTTGTGCTTATGTGCCTGGATTAGCTGCCGCAAGACGAGATCCACACGCGGCTGTGCGGGCGCCGCGTTGACCCGACGACGGGCGACATCTACCACGCCACGTACCAGGTGCCCACGGACGCGAACGTCGCCGCGCGCCTGCTGCACGTACGTCTCGAGCGATATGACTGTAGCTACAGCGCCGTTGGGTGTAGCGCGACGACGACCAGAGCGAGAAGATTCCGGCGCGGATCCAAGCGTATGCGCAGTACGGCGCCGCGACGAACCGCGCGTTCACCAACATCGCGTACGACATTGATGCGGACCGCCCGATGCGCGATGTGGCCGCCGAGGCCGCCGACATTCTTCACTCCGTGAGCAAGGTGCAGGCCAAGCGCTCCGAGGTGTCCAACCAGCTCTCGGTGCAGGCGCCGCTGTCAGTGAAAAAGGTAAGTCTTTTCATGGCGTGCGCGTGGCTAAGCGACCGGTAGCTGGAGCCCGAAGAGTCGGAGGTGAGTCCACCAAAGGTTCGCGTGAGCCTTCGCGCCGAGACGACGCGCGCCAACAAGATCGATGCCGAGATCCAGCGCATGGGTCTCGAGCTGCACGCGCCATTGTGTGTCGACAACAATCACCTCAAAGCGGTTTGTCTGATTTCTTATTTCGATAGTTTGATACTGTGCGTAGGACACGGCCAAGCTTGTCGAGATGGAGCGCTTCAAGACGATGCTCATATCTGGCTTTGACGTCATCAAGCACGGACGACGCGGCGCGCCGCATACGCGGACGGTACGCCTGTGTGCTGCACCTAGCCCTACATCGAGGTATCGCTAGCTGTTTGCCGACGTCGAGTTGAAGCGGCTGTTTTGGCAAAAACCCGACAAGAAGGAGCTCAAGCCCAAGCTGGACCAAAGCATTGCACTCACCGATGTCATTGAGATTGTCCAGGGCATGAAAACCGAGGTTTGTATATTTTATCTATTTTTTGTTGAATTTTTGTTCCTAATTATTATAGGTGTTTAAACGCTCGGGCGACTCGAGCAAGGCGGGCCGGTACCTCTCGCTGGTCGCGGACGATCGGACGTTGGACATTGAAGCCGTGACCGACGACATTTGCGGTCTCCTTGTGCTCGGTTTTTCCGAGCTTACGGCCCACGGCGACTAGAGACGCCAGACGAACAACACAAACTCTATACACATACTACTTCTAATATCTCTATTCGGCTACTTGAACGGGCGCGGCATGCAGCCTTTCCCACCGGCGATGACGAGGCAGCTCGTCGCGTCAAACATCGAGAGGAGGCTCGCTGCGATCGAGTAGACAAGCACGACTGCACACAAGAGGAGGATGCCACCACCCACATATGGGTACGGCGCGCGGTCCAGCATCTGGAGGCGGTGGAGGGCGGGCTTTTGGTTGGGCAAAAGCGCGACGCTTGCGCACGCAAGGAGCGTTGTGCCATAGTAAATTGCATACGTCGAAGCGACTTGGTGCCGGACGTGGTCCGAGTCGGCCACGATCGCAGCTTCGTCAACGTCAAAGTGCGCAAAAATGGCGTTGGCGACGACCGGGCCAAAGGACGCCGGGAGGTTCGAGACGGTCGTCATGAGCCCGTACAAGACGCCTTCGTTGCCAATGTCGGCGAGCTCGACAATGAGAAACGAAGAGACGATAAACTGCATCGCGTACGGGAGGTTCTCGGTCAGGGGCACGCCGAGGTAGAACCACTGGTTGCGGACCACATTGTAGATGGTCGCAAACTGCACGATGGCGTCAATGCCGTTGGCACTGAGCGTCGTGAGCAATAAGACGATATGCCAGTTCCACATGGTCCCGAAGCGGCCCATGACGGCGAGCGCGCCGGCAAAGAGGAGGTTGCCGCCGATCGTAACGAGCTGGCTGTTGAGGTTTTCGACGTGCGCCCAGTGCAGCATGACGTACGGCGCGGCCGTCGACGCCATGCCAGCGTTGAAAAAGTTGAAGAGAAAGTTGAAGAGCATCACTTGCCACGTCACGCGCTTCTGGACGAGCGCCCAGCACTGCGCTAAGTAGTCGGCAAACGTCACACGGTCGTGCTCGTGGTGCTCGTGGTCCGGGTGCGTCTCGTCGACGACAAAGAACGCGGTGATGGGCAGCATGATCGCACACGGCACGAGTGCTAGAAGGACGAAGATCGTGTTGACGCCCATGTCCCACGAATAGTTGCCGGCAAAGTGGTTCGAGTTCAACCCGACGCCGACGACCGCGGCCGCGACTGCCGACGCCAGCGTCCGTGTCATGTACACGAGCGACTGCATGCGCCCACGCGTCGCCATTGGCTCCCGCTGCGCGATCGAGACGACGAGTGCGTCGGCGGGCACGTCCGCGACGACGTACGAGATGGTTGCGAGGCCGAGGAG